ATATTATATATATTATGAAATTTACTTTCAACATTTTAACTTGTATATAATTTAATAATTTTGACACATAAATTTAAAATATATTATTAATTAAAATATTCGATAAACAAATAAATAATTGTTATAGAAATTATTTTTAAAGAAAATATATTTTGAATAATAATTATAATTTTAAAAATATTATATAGTTTTTTATAATTTTAATAGAAATAATTACACAAATAAAAAATGATTTTGTACAAAATATAGTTAAAATCATGTTTTATATTTTAAAGTATAATAATGTCCTACTATATAAAATATTATCTATTAAATAAAATAGTTTTACTATCAATATACAATTATTGAGAAAATTAAATTTTTGATAAAATGTTGGACATTAAATTAGGTTGTAAATGACTTGAAAAATAACCCAAACCCATCCAGTCCTCTTCAGACGAGACCAAGTTAATAGAATCGGATGGATTTTACTCACCCCTAGACAATGTTTTAAATCTAAAATCATTAATCAACCTAGTCAAAATATTAAGTGTGGGTCACTGATTAAATTGTGTAAATAAGTATATAATTAATTTTATAATAAAAATAAATTATATACTATAAAAATTATAAAATTCGTCTAAATAACAATTAAACATCTTAGCCCAATGATTATTAAGCTTCCAACCTTCCCATAGCATGAGTTTAAGTCCCACCTCTGAAATTTTAGAGTTCTCAACCTATTGAGAAGCATAATGTACATTTCTCCCTTAGCCATAGGACTTTGCAGAGTTTCATAAGATTAAAGCTTATTTTGTTTTTATCACTCTCACATCATATATATTATCATATCTTAATCTCTAAATGAATTCTACTTGTTCAAACATGATAAAATATAAAAACATGATAAGAATAGAATAAGAAAACATGATCAAACAAACTTTGATAGTTAGAATATGATAAAATTCTTAAAATAATGGGTTAATAAGAGTTTAACTCAATCTTACAAAATCAGTTTATAAGATAAGGATTGTTTTCCACTTATGAATATTATTATGATTTTATTCCTAGTCGACGTAGAATTTTTAACACATCTCCTCATGTTGAGGATTGAACATTTCAAGCATGAAGTTTGTTGGCTTGATAAGCCTAACAATACTTGTTAAGATAGGTTTTGATATACTTTGATACCATCTTAAAATATTAGATTAAGAATCTAATTCAACTTTATAAAATTGATTTATTAGATAAGAATTGTTCTTCATTTATATATACTATTATAGTCTTTTTCCTAATCAATGTGGGATCTCCTACAAAAATATGTAACATATGGTATATTTTACTATATACCTATATATAAAGGAATTCTCTAATTTCACATGCATATTATTTTTTAAAATTTTAATATTTTAAATAAAATAATTGTTAAATGAAGATTATTAAAAGTTACAAAAGTCTATTAGAGTCTGTTTAGGTAAACTAATCGTATTAAATTGGTAGTTAGAATATGAGAATATGAAAGCATGATAAGAATATAATATGATAGAATACAGAAATATTTATAACTATTAATAAATAAAATATATTATTTTGGTGTCCATATTTTTGGACACTTTTACCCTTCCTAATATCTATAACTACTCCATTAGGCCATTATAGTTAAGTTATCTATAGACTCTCATTTTATCATTTTTTTTCTATTTTTTAAAATAACAATGAGGCATAGTGTACATCGTTTTCTCTAGTGATTATAATTATCTTAACTATTTATGATTATTTATTAATTTAAATTAATATATAAAATAATTTTATGATTATTTGTTGACTTGAATTAATGAAATAAAGTATAAAATAATTTTTAAATTTTTTAAAAATTTGTGAAGTTAATTTATATATTAAGAACTTTTAATTCAACGGTTGAATCATTAAAATTTAATGTAAAATATGATTTATTGAGTAAAGTAAGCTTACATATATATATATGAGGAGGAATTCTTTTACTCCAAGAGCAAGTCTATCTAGACTTATTCTATTCAATAACTTATATTTTACATCAAATTTCAACGATCCAATCGTTGAATTTAAAGTTCATAATGCATAGAACAAATCTGCAAATTTTTAAAAAATTTGAAAATCATTTGATACTTCATTTCATTAATTCAAATTGGATAATCATAAAATTATTTTATACATTGATTTGAAGTAATGAAACGAAGTATCAAATGATTTTCAAATTTTTAAAAAATTTACAAATTTGATCTATACATTAAGAACTTTAAATTCAGTGGTTGGATAATTGAAATTTAATGTAGAACATGAGTTATTGAATGTAGTAAGTCTAAGTAAACTTACTCTTAGAATAAAAAAATCCCTCATATATATATATATATATAGTTGCATATTTTGAGATATTTTAAAATATTAATTTAATCACAAAAATATTTTGAATTTAAATTTAAAATAATTATTTTATTAATTATAGGTTTCAAAACCTAATTAATATTGATTTTAATGAGATATAATAATCTAACAGTTGTAATATTATTTAATTTTAATTATCAAATATTTTAAAATTAATTATTTTTAATTTTCATGATTAATTATAGGCATATAAATATTGAGAATGTTCTTTTCTTTGTTCTCTTTTATAGTACCAGGAAGATATTATTATACGTATCAGGAATTCATATCTCTAGGAATTTATATTACTTCGTATTCACAACATCCACAAACAAACAACATATTTAAGAGTTATTCTTCTACGAGGATACATAGACACTATGATATTAAATTAGTGAAATAACATCTTCAATAATAACTCCTACATATTAAATATGAATGATTATCTTACACAAAAGTATTTTTAAAGATTATTTTTCAATTATGTTTTTTTAATTTTATTCTTTATTAATACTTGTGTTTAATTTTAGGTTAAATTATATTTTTTTAATTTTAATTTCTTCAATTTATAATTTTAGTCTCAGATATTTATTCTCTATTTTTAAAAATATGAATTTTTAGTCTTTCTATAAAATTGAATTATTAAATTTTAATATTTATTTATACTAAAGTGATATAATATTGATATGACATTTAGAGTAAAAAAAAACTAAAAAAAATGAAGTAAAATTTATGAATAAAATAAATATCATTTCCCAATTAAAGGGCTCCACTAGTCTAAGGTATTTCGCAGCTTTTATTGGCCGTTTTAATAATATGCATGGTCTGTGAATTTGTGATGGCATTTATTAAGAAATTGAGATATAGACGAAAAATAAAAAATAAACTTTCATTCTACATTAGTCTCATTCAAGTAGAGATCTCTTGTATAGCCTTATCAAATAATGGTGATGTGTTAAAAAAGAAACTACGAGTCTGCAACATACCCCACTCTGTGTATATACTCCTCGTCAAATTATTTTGTAGGCATACAATTGTGATCTAAAAGCTTTTAATTCGTTATAAGAAAATTTCTTCCTTAATCAGTACACTGGAACTGAAGTATTGAACAAAGACATTAAGCCAAGGCGTGTGCAAACTGAACCCAAAGAGACACGCTTGGAATTGCACCATTCACAACCGTGAGCAAGTAATAACCAGAAGGTGCAACATGGGGTGATGGTGGGGCTTCTAAGACTGCAACAACCCACCCATCACCACTTCTCCCCAAGCTCTTGCACCTCAGCTTCAGCATCCTCTGATTCATCGCAAAGGAATGTGTGGTAAACGGTGGTGCATAGGCACTGAACCCCACCTCATTGCTTGGCCCCTTCCCCAGCCAGAACCTAACTCTAAACTCATTCCCATACCCAATTGCATGGCTCTCACCACCATGTCCATATTCTATGGTCAAGTTACTAGGCCTCAAGTTATGGTACCTCCTTTCCATATAGTATGGAACAAATGCTTGAAGTCTAAGTTCAGTTGGGTATGCCACATTGTTAAAAGTGTACCTCCCATGAGGGTTACCACCTGCAACCAAGACCCTCCCATCAGGAAGAAGAGTTGCTGATGAGTGATACATTCTAGCTATCTTGGTTGACTTGAGGACTGTGAACCTTTTTCCTAGTTTTTTTTTAGGGCTATAAAGATAAGGCTCAAGAGAAGCGTTTCTAGCATTGTCATATCCTGCACACCCTTGTTTAGCCCCATTTATGATCAAGATTTTACCATTAGGGAGAATCAGCATGTCATGTAGGAGACGTGGTTGGGGCATGTAGTCCATATCCCACTTGTGTTTGTTCCCTGAGATCACCATCCTACCACATGATCTTAAGCCTTGCAAGAATCTTCCCCCACCAGCAGCTTTAAGTGCTCCTGTGGATGAACCTCCACACACCATGACTTCAGCCTTTGTGAAGTTGTCTCTATGGTCCAATGGGAGTAACACGGATGAGCCTGAGCTAGGGTAGTTTCTTGACCCTTGTCCTGGAATTCTAGGGAAGGTCTTGATCACTTTGTTCCTTCTCAAGTTGAGTAGGATGGAATCACGGTTGGCGAAGACGAACAAGTTTCCATCTGATGAGAGGTGAAGGAAGGGATAGAGGTTGTTCCCTCCTGCATTTCTGTCATTGGTATGGTGCAAGAATGGAAGCTCAAAGGATTTTTCTCCGGGACTAGTTTTTGGTACAAATTCATATGTGAAAACTCTTCTTCCTCCAACAACCACCACTCTATCATGTTCTGGTAGTATCTGACTCGAAGCATACCACCTCTCATCAGATAGTGATTTCTTTGATTGTATCCAGTCACATTGGTGATTCCCACATGGCCTATAGAGTCTGATCCTTTTGGCACCTCTTTCATATCCACCGGTTTGTAAGAGTGTACCATTACTTAGGAATGAACCTGAGGAGCACCAAGGATCAGTGTCAAGCCTCAGAGGTCTCACTTTGTTGGTACTGATATCATACTCCACAGAATGAGCATAGCATGTGGAATCCATCAAATCGTGGTTGCTTGTGGTGCACCTGCTTCCATTGAACCGTCTGCGAAGTTGGTAACTGGATTTGCCTGCTCCAGTTTGGTCAAACATTATGACTGTGTTTTTGTAGGTTAAAGCCATATGCATGCCAACCACGCCAGTATTGTTAAGGAGCAGTTGCCACTGCCCTATCCTCCCTTCTGAGGATCTCACATTGGCACCATTGCTGAATCCAAAAGAAAGCAAGAAAAGTAGGATAGTGATCATGATTTTTCTGCAAGAGAGGAAGAACATGTGTTTCGTATTGTGATAGCAAGAGGGTGGTGGTGGCTGTTAGGTTCAAAGGGAGAGTCCTTTTGTAGCACTAAGTTTTGCTTGGAGACGACTTACTAGCGCTCATGCACTTGAAACGGCGCGCAATCATTTTGGCTAAAGTTCATATCATATAACATTTCAGTGATGTTTTAGATCCAATTCTCTCGGACTCATGCAAGATTGTATTCAACTTGTAACAATACTAGTTCGTTGTTTCTTTTGTTCCACATCACAATCTTTGAGTGTGATTATTTTATGAGAATATTTTTTTTATAATTTTGTTATTGATGGGAAGTATCAAAAGATTAAACTATATCATAAAACATATCTGACCACCTTTAATAAAGTTTTATTTCCGAAACATATTTTTTTTTTATAAATTCTAAATCCTAAAACTCAATTCTGTTTAGGGAATCTAATTCTAATTTCACTCAAACCAACTAATCTATTGATAAACCTTTCTTAAATATTTAATCGAACTAATACCATATTTTCTCTCGCATTAAGGATAATAGTTCTATTAAATATTTAAAAAGGATTTACTAAAGTCCAAATAAAACTGAATTCAATCCTTTTAAGCAAAATTTCAAATTGAAGTCTTATAGATGAAAAAAAAAATATGATTAAGAAAGATGCTATGAAAGGTGATCTGATAAATTTTCTCAGATATTTATCATAAGCAAAGTTGGTAGATACTCATACTAATAAAATGATTATTATAAAAAAATAGTGATATTTTATATAGTAGATGTTACGATCAATATTCGTTTTTACATAACATCGCCATGATAAGAGTGACATTTTTTCACTTTCAAAATAAGCAGTGCACAGTGTTAATAAAGCTAAATATAGAGTTGTATAATACCCCCAGTGACACATGACCACGAGAGTATACTAGAAGAAAGACGTGAGTAGTTGGATAGTTGAAAAGGAACTGAATTTGTTGAAAGTTGAAACCTAATCAGCCCATTAAGCACTTACTTAATTAATCAGCCACCAAGAAAGGGAACCTCGTTACTATTTACATAATCGGCCCAAAAGCAAGGGCACTTTTTTATTTCCTAAATGTGCAGAAAGTGCAGAGGGACAAAGGTTGTCTATCACATCACGTTCCCAACACCGACAATTATACAACGGAAATTTCACTCGACACGTCACCCACAAGTGAATGTTAAGGAATGCTAGGAATTCACCACATCATGCTGCGAAAGACATCATTCACACTACTACCATGTTATTTCACAAGGGTATGAGAAGTTAACTCACAAGTCCTACCTATCGACAAGGAAGTTTATAGAAGTGCTAAATTTTGAACCATATGGACAAAAAAAGATACATAGCCACATACACAAGCAACAAAATCTAGAAGCACGAAAAATTATATTGATGAATTGCCACAAAATTAATATAATAATGCAAATCCAACTCTTGTATAAAATGCGCTCAAAGCATAGTCTTGAATAAATAAATACCAAAAATATGTACAACGCGAAAAGCTACTTAGCAATTTTTTTCAATGTATCCGACCCCATCCTCCTCCTTCATCACCGAGAAATTTGCAGAAAACCCTTCATACCTCAACATGAAAAGTCATGGACAAGTTTTAAGAGATATCATCTAATACAGTTTTAATCTAGTAACAATGGTACTCCTGCAAATGGGGCATAACTCAAGATTTTGTCCACACTCACAGCATGTCTGCAAATCAATAAAAATGGCTCATATAATAGGCATTCAATAATCTATAATGCATGCGAGAAATTAAGAGGACTTCTAGGATTCCTTACCTGATGCCCGCAACCAAAGGCCATATCCTTAGGATTGGAGAGGCAAATGACACAATACTGCAAGGATTACATAACAGAATAGTTTATACTTGAGAGGATTTGAAACTTTGAATTTGCACTATATCATGTAAATGAAAATCTACTTTTGAGTGCTACTGTAAACCACAAAATAGTCTTGTCCTCCAACATGAAGATCGAGGGCAATGACAAGGACTTGAAGGACAAGGACTTGAAGGACAAGGAGATGTAAACATGCTACAGCAGTATCCGCAAATTAAAGAAGGAAATTTCAATAGTGAGAGAAAGGAAAGAGTGGAAGTACCTGATTATCAGAAATGGAACTTGCAGGAGGGTCTGTGCTAACATCATGTTTGCTAGCCGGTGCACTGGGACGAAAACTATTCTGACGAGAAGTTTTTGGAGAATTGAAAGATGCTGCGCCATATTGAGGTGCGCCATATTGAGGTGGTGGTAGAGGAAACCTGTCAATAGATTTCCCTCTACGAGCACTGTTTGAAAAGTAGTACACCTTAACTTAAATGGCTTTCATAAAAAGAAAATATATCCATTGCAGCAAAGTCAATGAAGAAAAAAAAAATCAGCATTCATTACCCCAATATATTAAGCTCTAGTGTTGCCTTGTATTGGGAGGGTATTTCCATCAAAGCAGCGAGTGCAAACTCTGCTTCCTTTCTGGACCGATCCATGTTCTTTGACATTATTTCGGTGAAATTCACAAACTACAGAAGACAAAAATTATAGAAAAATCAAGTTTGACATTATTGAGAGCATAAACAAGCCATGCTCTATAGTAACAGCAGAACTGACAACTTTTGCACAGAAGATACATGCCTGGAAATTATCAAATGCTCGGGCAGGGATGTTATCATCAAATTGTTTCATCATATCCCACGGCCCATCTCCAACTCCAACTAATATGATTGACAAGGGATATTCACTGCCAATAAACACAATTTAGAAACTCGATAACCAAGCTAAGGAATAAAGCAACACACAGATAATTACCTAGCTTTCACAATAGCTTCTACAGTTTTCTTTTCTTGTGCACTCAACTGTCCATGCCCGGTGTCAACACTTCTTGTCACCTGTGACAAGTTGACAAAATTCAATATCAACTCATTTATAATTAGTCTCCAACTGCTAATTGATTGCCAATGGCATGCATGATCACACCATGCCAGTATGTTCCTAAGCTAATATCATCTCAAAGATTCTTAATAGTTCCATATGAAAACTACAGCTGATTCTTATTTTGATTTCAATTTTATTTAGCAATTAGCTAGCAATTCTTAATACTTGAATATGAACAAGTGTGTCTGCTATTTGGAGTAAAATTGGATTATTTGATCTCAAGATACACTCGTTATGTAATAGTAAAAATAGTTGTCTATTTCAATTCACATAACGTTTTACCTGGCCATCCGCTATAATTAATAAGACATGGTACTGGCCTCCACTTTGCTCAACAATGGTGATTGCCATCTCAATGACTGGGGCAAATGATGTTGGTCCTGCCACGAGTTAGGGGCGAAAAAAGCATAAGCAGAGAGCTGATAAGAATTACAGGGAAAATAAAATGGAAATGAAGTTTGGCTAATGTTTCAATACCTGCAAGCTTTAATTGAGGGACCAATTCCCTGTACCGTTCCAACACTTCTTCAAAACCATGACAAAATCTATCATCAGGACAGAAACTAAAAACTTCTTGGTCATGTGTTGATGCTGCCAATATGAAACCCACACACAATATAACTCATCAGCACATTAGACTAGATTGATGAAAGTAATTCATAACAATGTTTCTCATATTACCATCTCCAAAACCAAAACAGGGAATTAAGTTATCCTCATCAAAGGAAGATAATGTTTTCCCAATGATAGATATAGCTTGTTCATATGGATTTTGTTCATGACCAATGTGGTGCAGGCATCTCCTTTGAAATGACCTTCCACCTAATGCCGAGGTAAGTTATGCAAGTTAACACAATTACAAAGGAGAGAAAATGAAGGTGGTTATTAAAAAAAGCAAAACCTGTCCACTCATTGCTCTTCGTAAAATCAATACCAACAATGAGATTGGAAGACTCTAGACCAGCACTTGCCAGAGCTTCAGTTACCTTCCAATATGAAAAACTACTTCAGAATGTCACATAAACATGAAATTAAACCGAGTACTGGTGTAGCACCAGATTTTAGCCTAGTAATAATCTAACATTTACAAACATAGCAATGACATAATGTCATGTGTTGATGCTGCCAATACGAAACCCACACACAATATAACTCATCAGCACATTAGACTAGATTGATGAAAGTAATTCATAACAATGTTTCTCATATTACCATCTCCAAAACCAAAACAGGGAATTAAGTTATCCTCATCAAAGGAAGATAATGTTTTCCCAATGATAGATATAGCTTGTTCATATGGATTTTGTTCATGACCAATGTGGTGCAGGCATCTCCTTTGAAATGACCTTCCACCTAATGCCGAGGTAAGTTATGCAAGTTAACACAATTACAAAGGAGAGAAAATGAAGGTGGTTATTAAAAAAAGCAAAACCTGTCCACTCATTGCTCTTCGTAAAATCAATACCAACAATGAGATTGGAAGACTCTAGACCAGCACTTGCCAGAGCTTCAGTTACCTTCCAATATGAAAAACTACTTCAGAATGTCACATAAACATGAAATTAAACCGAGTACTGGTGTAGCACCAGATTTTAGCCTAGTAATAATCTAACATTTACAAACATAGCAATGACATAATGAGAATCATGAGATTAATAGCTAGACATGAACATTAGCTAAAAATGATGATCCATCCATGAATCAAAAGGCACACATAAAACTAGAAGCAAATAGACAACAAAAGGAAATCAAATCATTTATTTTAGCAAGCACATGCATTACCATCCTTACAATGACAATGTCAAGATAACAATTAAACGAGAAATTAGTTGCAACTTGTTAAAAACGACCCTCCAAGACCTGATCTGAAATAGGCTTTTGCTTCTAAAACCTAAGAGCTTAAATTCAAAAATTGAAAAATACAAGGAAAGTTGCACGCATTCAGTATAAACCCTGGAACAGTCTCTACAGATGACATGCACACACAAGATCCGAATTATAGCCATTTCATACATTAAGAATGAGGGGGCATAAAAATAGTTACCTGGTCCAAGCTCTTATAATTATCACCTATCCTTGAAAACTTCGTATCTGAGCGCTTTCCTTGCTCTGGAGCACGACCACCACTATGGCTTGGAGATGAGTACCCGTAATGCCCCGCAGACCCATGATCTTGGATTTGTGTTTGTGGCAAATAAGGAGATTGATACTGAGGAAAGAAACTTGAGGACGAACGTTGCCTAAAACTCCTCCTCCGTTTTGAAATTGATCCACCCATAAATTATTTATCCTAAAGAAACCCAACACCAACAGCTCCATTATAACATTCAAATCAAATCTCTCAGAATTGTACATTTTCAAGCACAAATCACATTCTTGCTGTGGAAAAAATCTTGGTGACAAAAATAGTTAAATTACTTTTCTAAACTGCACTTTATTTTTTTCGGATATCTTATCATGTTTGAGACACTACCATATCATATAAAAATACTAAATGTAAACACCTTTTTCCAACAAGGATTCAAATCATGGTTACGTAGAAACCTCTCCCAAGAGAGATTTGATTCGAACCATGGTTCGCCAAGTTGGTCTCGCAATTGTAATCCACTCACATTGGTTTCAACTCCCCTACCTTACCCATTATTCTCTCTTTGCTTTAGTTTTCTTTAACTGATGCTAATCTCGAAGAAAAAACCCTACTTTGCAAAGCTAACAACATCCCACATGAGAAATAGAAAGGAAAATGTGAAAAGAAAAAATGATACCTTGAAGGGGCAAGAGGGGCTGAGAGATGAGAGAGTGAGGTAGTGGGAGTTAAAGAGCATTAAGCTGGAAAGTGGAGGCGTGTCAGTATCAATGGCAGTGATTGAGAAATGATAAGAATGGATATGCTTGATTGATGTTGATGAACGGTGAAGGTTGTTTCCACGAACTTTCTCACTCTCTCTCTCTCTCTCTCGTGTCTCTTCACACACTTTAGGCAAAACAAAAACTGTTCGGTGCTGCCAAATAGACACACAACGTTGCTTAATGGGGTGGTTGGCCATATGTTTATCAGTTTAATTTTAATTAATTTATCATACAAGAATCATAATAATCATCATATTGTTGAAAATGAAAAGTTTAGCTATAAGAATAAGTTGCTTAAAATTTTGAAATGTATAACATACTATGAACTTTTTGAAAGAAAATAACTTTGTCATCCTTGTTCTTCTAAAAGAACAATTGCTTTATCAGGCATTATATTTAAATAATAAGATTTCACAATGAATCGCGAATCATTTGCTTGGAGACTATATCCCGTGTAGATTTAATAATAAGATCACAAGCCCTCAGTGCTAGATGGTATATCACTGTTAGATTTTGAGAATATTTGGAAAGAGAAAATGCTTTTTTTTAAAAATTTTGTGTTCTATTTTTAATAATTTGGTGACACAAAAATAATGGGAAAAAAATTTATTTTTTTGTTTATTCGGTTTTACATTTTATGTGTAAAGTTCAATAATAGAAAACAAAGTAAAAAAAAAAAAATGTAAATAAATTTATAAAAAAAAATTCATTGCGTTTGTGACTTTTCGTTCACGTATTTTACGTGATTTTGATTTTCCGCATCACTTTTGTAGCTGTCCCGTCTAGCTTTATGGTGTGTTTGGATGAGGAATTTATATAGGGTAATTCATTTATTTGAGGAATTTCAAATTCCTTTAGGTGAAATACTTTGTTTGGATAAGGAATTTACAAAGAATTTGAAATCTAAGCATTTGTGAAATTCCTTAAAATAGTAAAATTTCAAATTCTCCCAAAAATGGAAGAATTTGAAATTCCTCATATTTATTTTTCTTATTTCACCTATATATTTTATCTTATCTCTTCATTCTTTTAATTATTAGATATTCAAAAATATTTTTAAAATTATTAAATATTATCTTATATTAATTTTTAAAATTATTAAATATTATCTAATATTAATTTTTAAAATTATTAAATATTTAAAAATGGATTGATATTTATTTTTATAAAATTTAAATTTAAAAATCTTAACATATAAATATATTTTTAAAATCAATTTTACTATGGTGGAATAAAATTATCATATTCAATCTAACAATTTAAAATTTAAGAAATTTGAATTGACTCATTCAAATAAAATATTTTAAGAATAATAGAAATTGAAATCAAAGTAATTCAAATACCAAGAATTTAAAATTCCTTGAATTTATAAAATTCTTTATCCAAACACCCTATTAACGTATTTAAGTTTGGACATTTGTATTGCATTTTTCTTTTACGTTAAAAAGGTGTGCCCAAACACTATTTCTCGTATTACTAATTTTATTAGTTTTTTTTACGGCTACTAATTTTATCAGTTAAACAATAAGAAATAACACTGTATACTGCATCGTATAAATTATTTTTATTTATTTTTATAGTGTTTTAAAATGTACCAAAAAATTAAAGAAAGAAATTGTTATCCCATTTTACTATTCACCAAATATTATCATAAATAAAAGAACTCAGAAAGTCATTTGCTTTACGTTATATCGTATTAATGATATTATTTGCTTTCTGTCGTAACTAGTAACAGCGCCGAACCAACCTTTCCTTAAACTACGCTAGACCTTAATTATTGTGTTAGTTTCCATGTCAAAATATCATTTGTTGAATAATAATTCTTAAAAAATTATTCTAATTTATGTTGAATAATATTTTTTAAAGTAATTTTACTTATCTTCAATACGCTCTTTTTCTGCCATTAACTTTTTTTCAGCTTTTCTTTTTTCCTTTTCAACTTTCTCATAAATTTCACTCATCAAACGTTCAAACTTTTCACATTTTTAATTAATTACGTACTTTATTATTTTTTATTTTGTTAAAAAAATAAAGAGATTCTAAATGCAACATTTCCCTTAATTATTTATACTATTATATAAAATGATAATAAATATTAATAATTAAAAATAATCTTTTATTATGATATAAATTATTCACTAAACATTAAATATATATATATATATATTAAAAGTAATCTGAAGAAAAGAGTAATGCTTTTGGTGACCATCAAATAGGAGGAAGAGGTAAAAAATACGTAGATGTTATTGTTATATATATCAAAAGTAAACCGAAGAGAAGAGTAATGTTTTCGGTGACCATCAAATAGGAGGAAGAGGTAAGAAATAGGTAGATGTTATTATTAATCTCCACCTTGGTAGATCAGAATATGTATAGAAATATAAGAAAAAACGTGGGTTCCTTCCAACACTTTGTTGGACACACTCTAACCTTTTAGTTAATACGAAAGGAATAAAGTGAAGAAAATATAAACAAATAAATAGAAAATAAAAGGGTGAATGTGTTAGATTATAGAGAAATGGGAAGATATGGAGAAATAAAAGAGGTATTGCACTCAAGTATAAAATATGTTGGGATAAACTTCTTAAGACAAATAGAAATTTTTTATTAATCAATATTAACAACCGTTGTGTCATATATTACAGAATTAAGGTTAGTAACACATACTTGTATTCATTGACGTTGACCGAAGGTTGCAATGGAATAACCTTTTAGTGCAGTGATCTTCCTTAACTAAATTAATGGATGTTGTACCTGTCTGAAGGGCACACTAGTAATTTTCTTCTCTTTGAGGGCCAAACGAGAGCTCTAAACGAATATTTCGGTGAGAGGGAGGATACCTGCAAAAGGCACTCCGTCGCTCAAGTCAGGACAAGCACAGATATCGATAGTAATTAATGAACAGTGACGTTACCTCGTGACATGAGCTATTTATACTGACATTAATGGGAATTGACTACAACGGGAACTACAAAAGGATTATAATATTAGGTAATAAGACTATAATCGGCTTATTGGTGTGATTAGCTCTTAACTCTTGATTAGTGGTAATCCTTAACTCTTGATTAGGGGTAATCTGAGTTTATGGAGCATTCAGTGGTCGATCAGTCGTCGGCTACCTGGTTCGACCGTTCGGGTGCCGATTGGATATCGGCTACCTGGTGGCCGAATGGTCTTACTAGTACAGATGTAAAACCTGTCTCTCTCTTTTCTCCCTCTCAACTCTATTCTCACTCACTTCTCCCTTCCCTCTCAATTCTCACTTACCTTATTCAATTCTCTGGAATCCTTGGGGTTGTAGGTGTTGTGTAGTTGTGCTAGAAGCTAGCCGAGGGCGTGGATTCTTCCTTCACAATCTCTCTTCTCCGTTCGTCTATTTCTTCTCCTTTCTTCCTCCCGGAGCTCAGAATCTCTTCACCGAGGTAAGGGAAGCTAGGATTTGTACCGATTATTTGTTAAGTGAGTTAGTTACTCACGGATTGTGTGATTTCCGAAGAGTATGAGCTGATTTGATGAAAATACGTTTTTTCGGGGTTTTGGGTGAAATTTTGGGGTTTTTCTTGTTTGATGGTTGCATGCTGAAAATGAATTCGTTTTCGTGTTGTTGGATGAAAATGTGGTTCCTTGGAGGGTTTGCATGTGCTTGGGCTGTTGGATTTTTGCAGGTTTGGGCAAAATTTTCGAACTTGGAGAGTTGCTGCTTGGTATCACGTTGGGCGCAGTTCTTGGCACCGGACGCGTGACCATCAGAGGACTCTATTGGGCAAGCTCGCCGAGCGCAAGGTTGTGTGCGTCGGACGAGCTTGAGAATGGGAGCCTCTGGATGGCCCACGCTGGGCGTGGTTGGACCGCGCTGGGCGCGATATCAGTAAGTAACATAGCTTTTGCGTTTCTGGTGTTGCGCCGGGCGTGACTTTGTCTCGCCGGGCGTGGAGACTCCTTGGGAGTCTCTGCCAGGGGTGGCGCTGGGCGTAATTGGTATTGCGCCGGGCGTGAGACCTTGGGGAGGTCTCTACCTTCCCTGCGCTGAGCGTGGGTTTGACATGTCGGGCGTTTGAGGCTCCTTAGAGTCTCTGCCTCCTAGCACGCCGGGCGCAATTAGAATTGCACCGGGCGCGTTTAAGCCTTAGAGCTCTCTGGTTGGGCCACGCCGGACGCGACCATGAGTGCGTTGGGCGCGGATGTGATCTTTGTTATATACTGATATACGTTGAGAAATGCTGATATATGTTGATGTTTGCTAAGCTGAGCTGAAATTGATGAATATTGTTGAGCTGAATGATGATATTGCTATGCTGTGAGATGTTTATGCTGAATTATGATGTTTAAGCTGTGCTGTGAAATGTTGAGCTGTGCTGTTTGCTATTATTGCTACTATGTTGTGTTGTGCTGCATGCTGATATAAACTGTTGTAGGCCGTAAGGCTGAGATGTTGTAGGCTGTAAGGCTGACTGTTGTAGGCCGTAAGGCTGAGATGTTGTAGGCTGTAAGGCTGATTGTTGTAGGCCGTAAGGCTGAGCTGTTGTAGGCTGTAAGGCTGATTGTTGTAGGCCGTAAGGCTGAGCTGTTGTAAGCTGTAAGGCTGAACTGTTGTAGGAGATCTCCGAGCTGATATGCGTGACGACGCATTGTTTGTTTACTTCTATTTTTGCTGAATGATGTGAGTTGTATATGTGATGAGTTGTATGTTGATGTTGCTGAACTAGATGATGTGCTGATAAGCTGTAGTTGTTATAATTTATGTATTTATATATACGTATGCTGATTCTTTTTACTAGCTTACCCTTTTGTTGTTTCCATGTGGTTTGGACTGCAATGATCATACTTTGTATGAGAGTAGAACAGGGATAAGTTGGTGTGCTTGAGGCAGGTCTGTAGCTGGTAGATGAAGTTACTTTTTATTGTTTTTGGCCACTAGTTTGGCTATTTTGGATGTATTTTGTACATTGAGCCCCAGGCTAGACATATTGTATATATTTTATTTCTATATATGTATGTTCTATTCTGTATGGTGATGTGTTGTTTGTTGTGTGACGGCCAGGCAGGTCATTACAATGGATTCCTCAACGGAACCTGATGTTCCTTTTTTTATGGGGAGACAAAGAGATGCGTGTTTTTAATTTGACATATTGGGGATCATGACCATTTTTACAATTTT